TAAAATTATTTGTTATTCTTTCCACTACTTTAAAATTATTCATAGACATTTTTCTTTCCTTCCTTTCAACAACGTGGTTGTTCATTTGTTCAAGTATTCTATAGTGAGAATTGATCTAGTTAAATAATAATATGAGCATTTTAATTGACAAAGAAAAGAGTTTTAATTTTTTACTGCTAATATTAGTCTAGTGAAGAAGTTACAACTACAAATTGTCTTCATTTGGAGTACAATAAATAACATCTAAGGAGAGGAAAAAATAATAAATATTTAGACATGTTTCCCAAGAAGAAGTTTGGCTGTTTTTTTTTCTTCTTCCTTTGCAATGACTTGTTTTAGTTGCACAACTTGCAAGGCTTTAATTTGTTTGGTCAAACTAAAACAGTAGTAGTTGTAATTGTAATTTACTTGAAAATTTTATTTTCTTTTCTTATTAATTAAGTAGAAGTAATAATTAAAAGTGGAGAAAAAAGACTATAATACACTTTAACATCAAATATGGACTATGTACACCCTCCTATCATAAACATACTTTGTTTTGTTTGAGTCAAGTAAAATTAATTTATTTTAATTATAAAAGAGTCTATTCAAAGATGGATTAATAAGTGTAATACGCATTAATTTTGGTCGCATTTGAAAGGACTTTCCTCGGCTATAAAAGGACATAACTATGTGACTCTCTAACACATCACTTATCAATTGTGTTTTTATTAGTAAGAAGCGTTTCAATGAATTGGCCTGAATTTCTAGAAAGTTCAAACCCTCAGGAGCCAACCATTGATCTGTCTCAGACCAATAGGTGGACTCCTGAGGAGAAACAGGTTTTTGAGAATGCTTTTTCTAGGTTTAATAACCTAGGTTCTCAAACTTTTTTCGAATTTGTTGCTTCAAAATTCCCCCATAAATCCATGGAGGAAATGAAAAACCTCTACATAAACCTCTTTAAAGAGGCTGAAATGGAGAATCCTTCGATAAACACAAATGTTGTTGATAACTCATCAGACAAGGAGGCCAATCCCAATGACACACCACCGCCTCCCGTTCAAATCACTCATTCACGACCTCATCGACGGGGAATTCCATGGACTGAGGGAGAACACTCGTAAGTAAATTCTATTTTTTTCGAATTTTATTTACTTCGATTGTCTGCATCATTTTCTATTGAATCTTCAAATAAAACTGACTTAACTTGTTGGTTGGTGCGTATAAACTTTAAATTCTTTAAAAAATAAAAATATTTTTTTTTAATCACTTGGCATGGTATATGTAGGTTATTTCTTATGGGACTTAACAAATTTGGTAGAGGAGATTGGAAAAGCATCTCAAGGCACTATGTTGTTTCGAAGACACCGACTCAGGTGGCAAGTCATGCTCAAAAGTACTTCTGCCGTCGTAATAGTAAGACTCCAGTGGATCGTCGTCGCCCTAGCATCAATGACATTCAAACTGTCTCAGTTAATTCTACAAGGACGACAACAACAACTGCTTCTAACAACAATGATCAAGTTGGTTCATCATCAAGGCCTTTTCGCTACGCTAATTACACATTTGGTGGTCCAACTTTTGCTAACAACTCCAATGGAAATTTTGGGATATATCATCCAGGTGAAGCATCTGGAAGCAACTCGTTCATTATGAAACAAAACAACAACAACAACAACGATCTCCATAGGCCTGTGTCACCTCGCCCTTTTCATTCCATGTACTTGTCTTCTACTAAAGGGAATAACCCCCAAGTCTAAGTAGAATAGGACATCTATTGTGTTCAAGTTTAGAGTAAGAAAAAGTTGGTGTTTTAGTTTTTATTAAGTAATAAAAGTGAGTCATGTATGAGTCTTTTTAATATAATGAAATGAAATGCGAAATCGAAAATTTTGTTTCTTCTCCACAAGTCACAAACGCAACTACAAATTGTCTTCATTTGGAGAACAAAGTGACTCTTTACATATCATTTATTGTCCAGACAATTTGTAGTTGTAAATTATTTAATTAAGTAGATAATTTAAGAAATTAAATAAAACTTTTAACTTAAATCCAAATGTATGCTGCATATCAAAATTATCATTTTAAATATTGGGGATGGGAGTTTTACGTATTCTATTCAATTTAAGTATTAGTATACATGTTATTGGATAAAACTAAACCCAAATATTAATCAGAATTGATGTACGTGGATGATCTCTAATTGATTCGATAAATACTACATATACAAGCAAATAATGATACATACGTTTGGTATATTTAATCTAACGTCTGACACACTAATTAAGATTAGCTAACATGTCAAAGTAAAAGAAGCCCATAAATAAATAATGACAAGATAACTAAATAAACAAATAGAAATTCATTTCATTTTAGATGAATATGAACTTAACTCATACACAAAGAATATATATAGTAAATCAATACAAGATTTCGCTTGAATTTCTCCGTTATAAAAATAAAATGTCATAAGAATGTTGTGAGTGATGCCGCAACAATGAGTATTGATTATCAAAATTGTTTTAAATGGACACATTAAATTTGGAACATATTGAAGTCTTTCAAAAAAAATAATTATATGGATTAACACATCAAAATTTTAAAAAACCTCAATTTCTTTTTTATAATTCTGAAATGTCAAAAAATGTTGTCAGTCATAATAGAGTAGCAAGTATTAATAGCTATATAGAAAGAATTCAATCATTAGTGTTAATAGATCTTGAAATAAAACAAGTCATGTAAAATTGGCGGTTTAGCTTGTTGGTGCATACAAACTTAAATTCTTTAGAATTAATATTTTATTATAAGCTCTATTCTAATATGGGGTAGCATTGAGGATAAGAGGAAAACACCATTAGTATCTTAGAACAAAGTGTGTGTGCCTAAGAAGTTTGGTGGATTAAATATTAAGGGGAGCAAGTTATGGAATGTGACGTATGCAGGAAAACTTTTATGGCAGTTAATAGTCAAAAAGAATGTATTGTGGGTTAAATGCGTACATGGATATGAAGGATAATCAAGATATCTGGGAGTATAAACCACCGCAAGAATACTTTTACCGGAAAGAGAATATGTCCTGGCAACAAATGGGAAGTACTCAACAGGAGATAGTTATGTTGTATTGATAGGAATGCAGAGAAAAATGAGGATAGCGGAACTGATATGGAACAAGATCTTTTCAACCAAGGCACACATTTATAGTATGTAAAGGGGTACAGGGTAGATTGTTGACAAAAATTGACTACCAAAAGATGAATAAACCAGTGGTAACATAACATGCAGCTTGATGAACATGCTATAGAGACATAACACCACATTTTCTCTGAATTTAACTAGACTAAAGGACTCATTACAGCAATGACTCAATCAGCTGGAGTGTAAATTTCATCGGGAAATGTCAAACAGGTGTTGAATCGAATCAGGAGGAAGCATTGGAAGCAACTTAACAAGGAAATAGTTGCAGCACTTTGGGGTTCAATACTTTATCAAGTGTGGCAGGTAAGGAATTGGAAACTGCATACGGGACCTACTGTCACTATGGGAACTACAATAACACATATGAAGCTAAGTTTCAGTGTTAGATTAGATATGGTTAGAAACACTAGGAAAGACCAAAAATATGATTCGTAATTTCAGCATTTTATTATTTAACTAGAGATATGTTGGAGGTTTTGTTATTTCAGCATTTTTTTTATGTAATTAGAGATATAGCCCTTCTACGGGGTAGCTGTAAAGTTAAATGCTCTTTAGGTGCATTAATTTGCTTGTTAACCGTAATATTTACATTTGTTAAAAAAAAATCAAATTTCATTTTACATGAATATGAACTTAATTCATACACAGAGACTTACCTTTGAACATATTTTATTAATTAAAAAGCTTGTGTATTTGGTATTCCAAATACTCCGATACATGGGACGAGATATATGTATCTGATGAGTGTCTAAGATATATAGACAAACCTCACTCACCTCCCTCCTATTCTCGCTCATGTATCTTGGTATTTTAATGTATATAAATGTATTTGACTTAAATCTGGATAAAATATAATTAATTAAAAACTATGAAAAAATTAGTAAATACGATATAAATATTTATGGAACTATGTAGTTTCTCAATATTTAATTTTTTTTGTCGGTATTTGCCTTTATGTAATTTAGCGAATCAACTAGAGATCGTCTACACTTACAAACTTTGACCATAGTATATGAGCTAGTTTTAGTAAATATATATATATATATATATATATATATATATATATATATATATATATATCAATATTTATTTATATATAATTTAACGAATCAATTAGTGATTGTCTACGCTTATAAATTTTGACCGTTGTATATGAAGTAGTTTTACTAATAATATTCCAAATATTCCAAATTTTAAAATGAAAATAATATATTCAGTTCAATATTTTTATTCTCCGTCCATAATAGAGAATGAAAAATATGAATTTTCATAGTTCTCTTTCTTTAGTCCCTTCATACTCCTTATTAATTCGAAGAGCATCTCTATTCAAAATAAAACATTCAATAGGAGGCAATGAGTGTAATCTTTCACCAAGTAATTTTTGGTCCTTTAAATGAATTTTCTCTAACTATAAAAGAACACAATTTTCACTAATTTTTAATATTTTAAAGGTGAATTGAAAAAAAAAATATAGAAACCTCGTTATAATAGCATTTCTATATATAACATGATTTTCTAAAAAAACTAGTTTTTTATATTATATTTTATTTCTCTATAACAACAATTACATTCATAATACCAGTAAATTCTTTGTAGAATTCCTTCTATAGTAATCATAGACAAATTTTGTGAAATAATATTTCATAAAAAATATATTATGTATAAAATTAAATATTAAAATATTCATATACTCATCTTTGACACCATGTATATAGTAAATTTCAAGTAAGAATATTTAACTGATTTCCATATTATAGTCACAACTTCGAAAGAAAGGACTTAATTTCTTTTAGCATTCATACTCTTTCCCTCTGATTTTCCTGTGAGAACTATGTTTCCAACTATCTAATTTTCTGCAGGAAACAAAAAGGGACACCACCTACACCTTAAGGTAATAACATCATCCACTCTAGAATTTCTGTTTTAGTGGAAGACTCTTCTAACTACTACTGACTATGAGGCCTCTAGATACTACGGTAGATGCTAGAAGAAGATTCACGACATTTTGATAAAAGTGAAATGTAAATATGGAACCCTCCAGAAAGTAAGGAGACTTACCGGAGTTAACTAGAATGCAAATGATAACAACGAAGCACCTGTTAATGACCGTGAACACCTGTATCTGCATCATAAAAAGATGCAGGTCAAATGAAATCCGTACATTGAATGTATGAGCATGTACGAGAAAACTGAAAGCAATAGTTAACTTAACTGAACAGGCAGGAAGAAATACTCACCTCACCTCAACACAAAGCAAAAATGATAGATGCAATATTTAAAACATTATAAAATAGGAGGTAAAACTCAATGATGTATAGAAATAAAATAACATACTCTTATTTGGAGATTTTCTAACGGATAACTATCACCAAGAGCTATGTAATGATATAGCGTCTCACCCACACTGCTAAAACTGTGTTATACCTTGACGGGGTATAGTACACCTCAATTAAGTAGATAAACTAAGCTATGCTTAAAAGAAATAAGTGTTCGTCTAAAAAGTACGCTCATTTACCCATGTTGGCTACATGATTTATGAGAAAAATGAGTTGTCTAAACTCATCCCATATCGGTCCTCCTATTTTTAAGTGCTTATTTAAGTTGGTTTTGTGTTCATATGTGTTAAATGCAATTGGTATTTGTGTACCTATGATATTTATCAAATCCATTAGAGATTATCTAGATCTATCAATTTTAACCAATATCTAATTCAATAACATACTAAAACTTGAACTTAATAGAATATGTCCAACTTAATATTATTTTCTTAATCTATAATAGAGAAAGAATATGGACTATGTACACCCTCCTATCATAAACATACTTTGTTTTGTTTGGGTCAAGTAAAATTAATTTATTTTAATTATGAAGAGTCTATTCAAAGATGGATTAATGAGTGTAACACGCATTAATTTTGGTCGCATTTGAAAGGACTTTCCTCGGCTATAAAAGGACATAACTATGTGACTCTCTAACACATCACTTATCAATTGTGTTTTTATTAGTAAGAAGCGTTTCAATGGATTGGCCTGAATTTCTAGAAAGTTCAAACCCTCAGGAGCTAACCATTGATCTGTCTCGGACCAATAGGTGAACTCCTGAGGAGAAACAGGTTTTTGAGAATGCTTTTTCTAGGTTTAATAACCTAGGTTCTCAAACTTTTTTCGAATTTGTTGCTTCAAAATTCCCCCATAAATCCATGGAGGAAATGAAAAACCTCTACATAAACCTCTTTAAAGAGGCTGAAATGGAGAATCCTTCGATAAACACAAATGTTGTTGATAACTCATCAGACAAGGAGGCCAATCCCAATGACACACCACCGCCTCCCGTTCAAATCACTCATTCACGACCTCATCGACGGGGAATTCCATGGACTGAGGGAGAACACTCGTAAGTAAATTCTATTTTTTTTCCGAATTTTATTTACTTCGATTGTCTGCATCATTTTCTATTGAATCTTCAAATAAAACTGACTTAGCTTGTTGGTTGGTGCGTATAAACTTTAAATTCTTTAAAAAAATAAAAATATTTTTTTTAATCACTTGGCATGGTATATGTAGGTTATTTCTTATGGGACTTAACAAATTTGGTAGAGGAGATTGGAAAAGCATCTCAAGGCACTATGTTGTTTCGAAGACACCGACTCAGGTGGCAAGTCATGCTCAAAAGTACTTCTGTCGTCGTAATAGTAAGACTCCAGTGGATCGTCGTCGCCCTAGCATCAATGACATTCAAACTGTCACAGTTAACTCTACAAGGACGACAACAACAACTGCTTCCAACAACAATGATCAAGTTGGTTCATTATCAAGGCCTTTTCGCTACGCTAATTACACATTTGGTGGTCCAACTTTTGCTAACAACTCCAATGGAAATTTTGGGATATATCATCCAGGTGAAGCATCTGGAAGCAACTCGTTCATTATGAAACAAAACAACAACAACAACAACAACGATCTCCATAGGCCTGTGTCACCTCGCCCTTTTCATTCCATGTACTTGTCTTCTACTAAAGGGAATAACCCCCAAGTCTAAATAGAATAGGACATCTATTGTGTTCAAGTTTTAGAGTAAGAAAAAGTTGGTGTTTTAGTTTTTATTAAGTAATAAAAGTGAGTCATGTATGAGCCTTTTTAATATAATGAATGAAATGTGAAACCGAAAATTTTGTTTCTTCTTCACAAGTCACAAACGCAACTACAAATTGTCTTCATTTGGAGAACAAAGTGACTCTTTACATATCATTTATTGTCCAGACAATTTGTAGTTGTAAATGATTTAATTAAGTAGATAATTTAAGGAATTAAATAAAACTTTTGACTGAAATCCAAATGTATGCTGCATATCAAAATTATCATTTTAAATATGGGGGATGGGAGTTTTACGTATTCTATTCAATTTAAGTATTAGTATACATGTTATTGGATAAAACTAAACCCAAATATTAATCAGAACTGATGTACGTGGACAATGTCTAATTGATTCGATAAATACTACATATACAAGCAAATAAATGATACATACGTTTTGTATATTTAATCTAACGTCTGACACAGTAATTAAGATTGGCCAACATGTCAAAGTAAAAGAAGCCCATAAATAAATATCGACAAGATAACTAAATAAATAAATAAAATTTTCAAATTTCATTTTAGATGAATATGAACTTAACTCATACAGAAAGAACTTACGGTGAATATATATAGTAAATCAATACAAGATTTCTCCGTTATAAAAATAAAATATCATAAGAATGTTGTGAGTCATGCCGCAACAATGAGTATTGATTATCAAAATTGTTTTAAATGGACACATTAAATTTGGAACATATTGAAGTCTTTCAAAAAAAAATAATTATATGGATTAACACATCAAAATTTCAAAAAAACTCAATTTCTTTTTTATAATTCTGAAATGTCAAAAAATGTTGTCAGTCATAATAGAGTAGCAAGTATTAATAGCTATATAGAAAGAATTCAATCATTAGTGTTAATAGATCTTGAAATAAAACAAGTCATGTAAAATTGGCGGTTTAGCTTGTTGGTGCATACAAAACTTAAATTCTTTAGATATAATATTTTGTTATAAGCTCTATTCTAATATGGGGTAACATTGAGGATAAGAGGAAGACACCATTAGTATCTTGGAACAAAGCGTGTGTGCCTAAGAAGTTTGGTGGATTAAATATGGGGAGCAATTTGTGGAATGTGACGTATGCGGGAAAACTTTTATGGCAGTTAATAGTCAAAAAGGATGTATTGTGGGTTAAATGGGTACATGGATATGAAGGATAATCAAGATATCTGGGAGTATAAACCATCGCAAGAATACTTTTACCGAAAGGAGAATATATATGTCCTGACAACAAATGGGAAGTACTCAACAGGAGATAGTTATGTAGTATTGATAGGAATGCAGAGAAAAATGAGGATAGCGGAACTGATATTGAACAAGATCTCTCAACCAAGGCACACATTTATAGTATGGTTAGCTGTACAAGATAGATTGTTGACAAAAATTGACTACAAAGTATGAATATATCAGTAGATAACATAACATGCAGCTTGATGACCATGCTATAGAGACACAACACCACATTTTCTCTGAATGTAACTGGACTAAAGGACTCATTACAGCAATGACTCAGTCCGCTGGAGTGCAAATTTCATCAGAGAATGTCAAACAAATCAGGAGGAAGCATTGGAAGCAACTTAACAAGGAAATAATTGCAGCACTTTGGGGAACTGCATAGGGGAACTACAGTCACTATGGAAACTACAATCACATATAAAGCTAATTTTCAGTGTTAGATTAGATATGGTTAGAAACACTAGGAAAGACCAAAAATGTGATTCGTAATTTCAGCATTTTATTATTTAAATAGAGATATGTTGGAGGTTTTATTATTTCAGCATTTTCTTTTTATGTAATTAGAGATATAGCCCTTCTACGGGATAGCTGTAAAGTTAAATGCTCTTTAGGTGCATTAATTTGGTTGTTAATGATAACATTTACATTTGTTTAAAAAAAAAAGAATTTCATTTTACATGAATATGAACTTAATTCATACACAGAGACTTACCTTGAACATATTTTATCAATTAAAAAGCTTGTGTATTTGGTATTCCAAATACTCCATTACATGGGACGAGATATATGTATCTGATGAGTGTCTAAGATATATAGACAAATCTCGCTCACCTCCCTCCTATTCTAGCTCATGTATCTCGGTATTTTAATGTATATAAATGTATTTGACTTAAATCTAGATAAAATATAATTAATTAAAAACTATGAAAATATTAGTATATACGATATAAATATTTATGGAACTATGTAGTTTCTCAATATTTAATTTTTTTTGTCGGTATTTGCTTTTATGTAATTTAGCGAATCAACTAGAGATCGTCTACACTTACAAACTTTGACCATAGTATATGAGCTAGTTTTAGTAAATATGATAGAAATATTTATGTAACTAGTTTTAGTGTATATATATATATATATATATATATATATATATATATATCAATATTTGTTTATATATAATTTAACGAATCAATTAGTGATTGTCTACGCTTATAAATTTTGACCGTTGTATATGGACTAGTTTTACTAATAACATTCCAAATTTTAAAATGAAAATAACATATTCAGTTCAATGTTTTTATTCTCCATCCATAATAGAGAATGAAAAATATGAATTTTCATAGTTCTCTTTCTTTAGTCCCTTCATACTCCCTATTAACTCGAAGAGCATCTCTATTTAAAATAAAACATTCAATAGGAGGCAATAAGTGTAATCTTTCACCAAGCAATTTTTGGTCCTTTAAATGAATTTTCTCAACTATAAAAGAACACAATTTTCACTAATTTAATATTTTAAAGGTGAATTGAAAAAAAAACATGGAAACCTCGTTATAATAGCATTTCTATATATAACATGATTTTCTAAAAAAACTAGTTTTTTATATTATATTTTATTTCTCTATAATAACAATTACATTCATAATACCAGTAAATTCTTTGTAGAATTCCTTCTATAGTAATCATAGACAAATTTTGTGAAATAATATTTCATAAAAAATATATTATGTATAAAATTAAATATTAAAATATTCATATACTCATCATTGACACCATGTATATAGTAAATTTCAAGTAAGAATATTTAACTGATTTCCGTATTATAGTCACAACTTCGAAAGAAAGGACTTAATTTCTTTTAGCATTCATACTCTTTCCCTCTGATTTTCCTGTGAGAACTATGTTTCCAACTATCTAATTTTCTGCAGGAAACAAAAAGGGACACCACCTACACCTTAAGGTAATAACATCATCCACTCTAGAATTTCTGTTTTAGTGAAGACTCTTCTAACTACTACTGACTATGAAGCCTCTAGATACTGCGGTAGATGCTAGAAGAAGATTCACGACATTTTGATAAAAGTGAAATGTAAATATGGAACCCTCCAGAAAGTAAGGAGACTTACCGGAGTTAACTAGAATGCAAATGATAACAACAAAGCACCTGTTAATGACCGTGAACACCTGTATCTGCATCATAAAAAGATGCAGGTCAAATGAAATCCGTACATTGAATGTATGAGCATGTACAAGAAAACTGAAAGCAATAGTTAACTTAACTGAACAGGCAGGAAGAAATACTCACCTCACCTCAACACAAAGCAAAAATGATAGATGCAATATTTAAAACATTATAAAATAGGAGGTAAAACTCAATGATGTATTGAAATACAATAACATACTCTTATTTGAAGATTTTCTAACTGATAACTATCACCAAGAGCTATGTAATGATATAGCGTCTCACCTACACTGCTAAAACTGTGTTATACCTTGACGGGGTATAGTACACCTCAATTATGTAGATACACTAAGCTATGCTTAAAAGAAATAAGTGTTCGTTTAAAAAGTACGCTCATTTACCCATGTTGGCTACATGATTTATGAGAAATGTGAGTCGTCTAAACTCATTCCATATCGATTCTCCTATTTTTAAGTGCTTATTTAAGTTGGTTTTGTGTTCATATGTGTTAAATACATTTGGTATTTGTGTACCTATGATATTTATCGAATCCATTAGAGATTATCTAGATCTATCAATTTTAACCAATATCTAATTCAATAACATACTAAAACTTGAACTTAATAGAATATGTCCAACTTAATATTATTTTCTTAATCTATAATAGAGAAAGAAATATATATATATATATATATATATATATATATATATATATATATATTCGCTCATTGCCTTTTTTTTAATTGATTTTTTCAAATATTGACCAAAGGTATGAAATCATGGATGGGTAGAAAAATATTGAGTTTACAAATTATTTTCAATTAATGTTTTAAAATGCTATTTCATAATACTTGCTCAAATACTCTGGTCAAAATTGATAAATGTCGACAATTTCTAAGTGATTAGATAATATAATAGGTATAGATAACAATCAAAAGAGTATTTTTCCTTGTTTGAAAAATTCATACTTTATTCATAATATCAAAACAAACCCATATATTATGCCTTGAACAATAAATATCTCCCCCCACCACCACACACACGAAACCCACACCAAAACTACCACACAACTAAAAAAAATGTTCATCCAACAAAAACAAAAATGTCTTTTTCATTAGTATCCACCGTTGTTCATCCCGGGAGAAGGCAAGTACATTGAAATGATGGATCAGGTGACATTGGCATAAGGAGATTGTTGTTGTTGTAGAGGTTTTGTTCCATACCGAAGGAGTTATTGTTATATGCTTCAGCCTGCTTGAAACTCCCAATATTGTTATTGTTGTAGAGGTTCTGTTTCATACCGATCGAGTTATTATTATATGCTTCAGCCTGGTTGAAACTTCCAATATTATTGTTATTCGGATTCTGCTCCATAGAAAATGAGTTGTTGCTATATGCTTCAACCTGATTGAATCTTTCAAAATTGTTCAAATAGTTATTAGGGTTTTGCTCCATATCGAACAAGTTGTTGTCATATGCTGCAGTCTGGTTGAATCTCCCAAAATTATTGTTATTGGGGTTCTGCTCCATAACAAACGAAAATTCAGCCTGGTTAAATTTCCCAAAATTGTTGTTATTAGGGTTCTCCTCCATAACAAGCAAGTTGTTGTCATTTGCTTTAGCCTGGTTAAATCTCCCAAAATTGTTGTTATTAACGTTCTGTTCCATAATAAACAAGTTATTGCCATATTCTTCACCCTGGTTTTATCTTCCCAAATTGTTGTTATTGGGGTTCTACTCCGTAGCAAATGAGTCGTTGTCATATGCTTCAACGTGATTGAGTATCTCAAAATTGTTGTTATTTAGGTTTTGGTACATAACAAATGAGTTGTTTTCATATGCTTCAACTTGGTCGAGCATCTCAAAATTGTGACAATTGGGGTTCTGGTCCATAACGAATGAGTTACTGTCATATGCTTCAACCTGATTGTTGAGATTGTTATTTAGATATGGTACACCAAAGGTGTATGGGTAAGATTAATGTTGTAAAAAAGAAGCAATATGGTGGTTGTTAATATAAGCAGGCATGTCACCATTGACATGATGATACATGGGCACAATTATTGGTGTCATAGGGTTGGATTTGGATGTCATAGTTAGAATATCATTTATACTAGTACGACGACGTTTTAGAGGAGTTTTACAGTTTATGCGAGAAAAGAACTTCTGTGCATGACAACTCACTTGTCTCGCTGTTTTTGAAACAACATACTCCTTCGAGATATCCTTCCAATTTCCTTTTCCAAGATTGTGCAATCCGATGAGAAATAATCTATATATACATACCTCATGATTAGAAAAAAAATATTGGAGAGAGTTTTTTTAAGAAAATAATTAGGGGATTAGGAAATGGGGGGAGGATTACAATATGAGAATCGAACTCTAACCCTAAGATGAGAATTCAGATAGTTAACCAACTGAACTACTAACATGGTCGTTATATATAATTAATAAATTATTTTTTTTAAAAAAAATGAGATACATAATTAATTGAATGGAGTTCCAATTTATGCTTCATCGGTATAAAAAAGAATTTAAATGAATTAAAAATTTACCAAGTAAGAAGCAACAATGAACTTTGATTTCATGAAATTAAATCTAACATGTAAAAATTTGTGATAGTCATAAAACTAAAGAGTGCAAATATTTATGTGAGTTTCTTAAAAAAACAGGCAGAATTTACCGATGTTCCTCTTCCGTCCATAGAATCACCTGTCTCCGACGTGGTGGTTTGTCATTAAGAACCTCCATGTTTGAATTGGAGGTGGTAGTTGTGTGTCATTGAGAACCTCCATGTTTTCAACTTGAGGTGGAGGTATGACAATGAGAAACTCCATGTTTGAGTTATTTAATTCCATTGATAGAAAGAACAAGGAGCTAGCATATATGGTACAAGAGAGGTGTTATAATTCGTTTTGTACAGTCAATTGTTTGTGTTAAGAGTCAAAATAGTTGTCCTTTTATAGTTTAGAATTTTTAGTTTGGTAGACTAAAATTGAATTCTCATTGTCAGTAATTTAATGACTTTACCAAATAATGTTGCCCACGCTCGACAAAAGAATTAGATTCCTTAATCAATCTTTATATGGATCCTTCTAGAATTCATTAAGTAAGTTATATTTTAAGTGAAATCAAATGAAGTGTTTATGATATTGTTTGTTTAATTTCACCAAAAATATAACTCAATAAATTCCAAAAGCATGTATACAAATATTGATCAAGGTAAATTTTTTGTCCAGCTTGGACAAACAATATTATTTGATAAAGTCATTAAACTATTGACAATTGAATGTACTCTCACCGTTGAGAATTCTATTTTACTTTACTAACCCAAAAATTATCAATTATAAAAGGACATTACTACTTTGACTCTAAAACATCAATTGACTTTACAAAAAGAAGCATTTCACCTCTCTTGCACAATACATGCTAGCCTCTTGTACGTTCTATCAATGAAGTTGAATAACTCAAACATGGAGATTCTCAACAACACACCACCACCTGAAGTTGAAAACATGGAGGTTCCCAATGACACACCACCACCTCAAGCTCAAAACATGTAGGTTCTCAATGACACAACACCTCAAGTTCAAAACATAGAAGTTCTCAATGGCACACCACCATGACGGAGACGGGTGATTCTATGGACGAAAAAGGAACACCGATAAACTTTTTTTGTTCTTTTTTTTTCTTCAGAAACTTACACATAAATATATGCATTTTTTATTTTTATGTCTCATCACACATTTTCACATGTTAGATTTAATTTTATGATTCGAAGTTCATTATTGCTTCTTACTTGGTAAACTTTTATTTTATTTAATTTTTTTATATACTGATAGAGCATGAATTGAATCTCCAATAAATTAATTATATATCTTCTTTTTTTGAAAAATGTATTAATTAATTATACATCACAAAACTTAGATGTCGTAGTTCATTTGGTTGACTATTTGAATTCTCAACTTAGGGTTAGGGTTCAATTCTCACATTGTAATTCCCTCCCCGTTTCCCTTTTCCCCAATTTTTTTTTAAAGAAAACTCTATCCAATTTTTTCTTGTAATCATATAATATGTATATTTAGGTTATTTCTCATCGGACTATACAATCTTGGAAAAGGAAAGTAGAAGTATATCTCGAAGGAGTATGTTGTTTCAAAAACAATGAGACAAGTGGGCAATCATGCACACATGTTCTTGTCTCGCATGAATTGTAAAACTTTCAATAAAACGTCGTCGCGCTAGCATAAATGGTATTCGAACTATTACATCTAACCTTATGACACCAATAATTGTGCCCATGGATCATCTATACAATAATCACATACCTATATATTAACAACCACCAAATTGCCACTTTCTTACAGGCCTGAATCTTACCCTTACACCTTTGGTATACCATATCTAAACAACAATCCCAACAACCAGGTTGAAACATATGACAACAACTCGTTAGTTATGGACCAAAACCCCAATGGCCACAGTTTTGAGGTACTTAACCATGTTGAAGCATATGACAACAACTCGTTCGTTATGGACCAGAATCCCAATAACAACAATTATGGGAGACTCAACTAGGCAAGCATGTGGCAACAACTCGTTTGTTATTGAGCAGATACCCAATAACAATAATTTCGGGAGATTCAAAGAGAAGCATATGGCAACCTACTTGTTTGTTACGGAGCAGAACCCCAATAACAACAATTTTGAGAGATTCAACCAAGTTGAAGCATATGGCAACAACTTATTCTTTATGGAGCAGAACCCCATTGAAGATAATTTTGGGGGGATTCAACCAAACTAGAGCATATGGCAACAACTCATTTGCTATGGAACAGAATCCTAATAACAATAATTTTGGGAGATTCAATCACGCTAAAGCATATGACAACTCATTTAGTATGGAAAAGAACCCCTATAACTACAACAATCTCCTTATGTCAATGTCACCTCATCCCTTCCATTCAATGTACTTGCCTTCTCCTTGGATGAACAATGGTGGACACTAAACAACTAAGCCATTTATTTAAAAGTATTTGTTTTTGTTGGGTGAAACAAATTTTAGTTGTGTTGTAATTTTGATTGGATTTGAGTGTGTGTGAGGGGGACGGGGAGAAGGGGGTGGGGGTGGGGGATTTAATGTTCAAGACATAATATATGAGTTTGTTTGATATTATGAATAAAGTATGAATTTTTCATACAAGGAAAAAGATGTTGTTATCTCTTGATTGTTATTTATACTCATCGTATTATCTAATCACTTAGAAATTGTCTATATTTATCAATTTTGAACAAAATATTTGAGCAAGGTTAAGTCAATAGCATTTTAAAAATTTAATTGGAAATAATTTTTTAACTCGTTAATTTTCTACCACATCTACGTTTTCATACTTTCTACCTATTAAAAAAAGGGCAATGAGTGAAAATATATTTCTTTTTCTATTATGGATTAAGAAAATAAACAGTGAGTTCGGACATATTCTATTAAGTTCAAGTTTTAATATGTTATCGAATAAAACTGAATTAGATATTAGTCAAAATTGATAGACGTAGACAATCTCTAATTAATTCGATAAATATTTCATACATACACAAATATTAAATGCATTTAATGCATATGAACACAAAACCAACTTAAATAAGCACTTAAAAAGAGGAGATCATAGTTAACATTTTAGCACCAGATCAAAATTTGTGCACTCATGACAGTAGAATTAAGCAGAGCAGCTCAAACTATAACAATAGAAACACTCTAAAAGAACATGCAACATGAACCACAAAACTCACAGATGTAATTACCAATAGCACTTGGTTGAGCATCTCTCAAACCGAATACAGTGTCAATAACAGCCAACTCTGTTGTTGTAGTGTCTGATCCACAAAATGCTGTCCAGTCATTAACGGTCAATCCAGCAGCAATCACATTACTACCCCTATTCACAGTCCCAGCAGCAATAGGTAAATGAAGAAGAATGTCCAGTTCATTTAAATCTTCAATGGACGTACGAGGATGGACCTGTTCCATAACAAAGTTTCACAAATATTAGGAAAAAGAGTAACATAGTTATGCGTCTTATTGCTCCAGCACCTGTCTACAATGTGGAGTAAGAAAATTGAACTTACCAAGACCCCTTTGTTGGATAAAGAACAATAGCTGCCAACAAGAACGTTCCCAGCTATCGTATGCCTTAAAACTTCAACACCAAGAACATCAGCAATCATCTCTTCAGTGTCCTGGAGAAAAATAACAAAGCATAACACATTGACGTAGGTAAAATTTGTATCTAACCTACTCCTTAATCTATATTATTGATAAGGAGGAAAAGGTTATTGTTGAATCTTTGACAAACTCAGGCTACAGTAAATATATTCATGTCATGACAAACTCCAAAGCTTGCCATCAGTATATGTTGTGATAGATTATGTTTAAATAGCATAAAAAACGGTACAAGTAGTGGAGAGCACCATGGGCTAACCCGAGGAGATGAAAACGCCTGCCCTAAGAGAAGTCCTTCAAGATATCCCTCTCCTTAAAGCTAAACATAGTAAGATAACATAATATCATATGGAGGACACTTCAGATACAGGAACATTTTACATAAAGGATTAAGAAACAATTTTTTTTTAATAACCCAGAAATCCCCGAGGACTAGGACCACAATTTTCAAAGATGTTTTCTCTAGTTATGCACAGCCCACAAAACACCACAATCAGCAAATCTGACTGCTCTAATTTTAACAGACATTTTGTGTTTTCGATATGAAACAGAGAAAAGGCCAACACATAGATAATTATTGACAACCAAAACATCACAACAGCTAGTTAATGCACGACTCAAATTTTGACCTATAGGTTTGCTCAATATCCGGAATATGTAGGGAGGGAAATGAAATTTCATATACCACATAATTTCATCCCATTCTATAGGAAAAGGCACGAACAGATTACCTTGTCAAGAGAAGGATGTATAAGAGCAATATGATCATTGCATGCTATGCAGTTCCCCAAGGCAGAATGTGTCTCGTCGATGCATTGTACCTCAACAGAATTGGGCAGACTATTTGTCAAGTGCTGAAGTTCTTCAATCACCGAAAGAGACACAAAGGCAGATGTAAAATCAAGGAAATAACAAAGGAAAAAGGTGAATGTAAGGTAATTTGACCAAGTCACATAAATAAACATGAAATGGTAGAGTGAAACATTAGCCTAAACGAAAATCAAATTTTCAATATTTTGTTAGTTTATATAGATATATCATTCGCCTCCAGTCCCAAAAATGATGCATGGAATCAAGGACAGCAATGTTGCAGACCGACCACTTATGAAATTGTTTTCTTCTAACCCACAAATTTTGTCATAGCAAGTCCAATTCATATCCATGCCCGACTTATAGATAAGTATTCCAAAGGCTGTATTGAATACAAATGAATAGAATGACATGTTTGCACGATCAACAATCATTGCACTGTACAAAAGAAAAAGAATATTCAAAGAAAACTAAAAACTAAAACTGAAATGCCTAAGATAGAACAAATGATGTTATTACCTTGAGGTGTAGTGGTGTAAGGCAAGAGAAGCCCATTTTTGTTTCCTGCAGAAAATTGGAAGTTGGAAACTTAGTTCTCACAGCAAAATCAGAGGGAAAAAGGGCCTTGAGTTACAGAATGTAGTTCTAAAATATTGTTGAATACCAGCACAGTCTTCCAACCGACCAGCTTCCATTAATAGTTGTTTGAATCACTTGAAAGCCTCGGATAGGTGCTAACTCATCCTCAAATGTACTGGAAAGAAATCACAGAAATTACAACTTTTTCTATAAACAGGGAAAGTTAACAAGAAAGACTCATTATTCATCTTTAAGTATTTATATTCACTTCATGTTTCCTTTTCTTATTGTTCCACATTAAACGTTCAACCTTCATTTGCACCCGAGGCCGAGAGTGTGGCCTAATGGGTAGATTGTGAACCATAAGGTCTCGCGTCCAAATTCTAGAAGATAAAAAACACAAGGTCATTTCTTCCCGTCTATCCTAACCTTAGTGGACAAAGTTTTATCGAGGTGGACGAAAGCTAGCCCAAACTCCATGGTTATCGAAAAAAAGTTCAGCCTTCATTTTCTTTCTCTAATATTTTAGTTTATCACTGCAGCTTCCATAACTATTAGTTTGAAAAACAAGAAAGATGAACCTATAGAAGTTTTTAGAACCCCCTATTCCAACTAAGCAGTATGCATTGGTGAGCTTGGAATAAACTCCAATATCACAAGAATTCTCAAATTGCAGCCCTACATTTTTAAAAAGAAAACTTCACACACAGAAAATAATACAATGAATATCAGAATGAGACAATATTATGTAACTCACTTAAGGCCATTACTAGCCGAAAAGGGCAGAGCTGAAGATTCTGCCAAAATTTTAACAATTCGTCTTCTTGGTTAAAAGAAATCATCACGAATACTTACACATACCATTAACTTTCATATTCAGTATATACTAAATTTAACACTAGGACACAAGTGCAAAATATTTTATTCTATCGGACTTACTACTGGCCATCTCTTAAGATCACATGAGAAGCAAATAAGCAACGGAACACAACTTGTATCATCGCAAGTAACTAGGAAAAATTGGAGTTAGTACCTTCAGCAACAACAACATATCCCGTTTAATCTCACAAAATGCAGACAAATTTTTAGTAAAAGATTGGGGGTATTGAACCCATTGTCTCTCCATAAAACTAGATATTTTACGTATATATTTTTCCAAATTGGTATATATTATTATCTGCTGGCACCATTGAACAAAGACTACATAATGCACTCTAGAGATCAATTCCGTGTAAATACATCTTTCCCATTCTTTTTTGGAAGGGCATCCATGTTATAGAAATTCTAAATTCATCTGTGAAAAGGGTTGCATAGGGTTATACGTAGAAGCTCGACTCAAATATGAAAAAAACAATTATGTAAAACAAGTACAGAAGCGAAGAAGTTATGGCATAGATAGTTAATGCGTTGTAAAAAAAAAAACAGAGTACTTTAATTCAACTTACAATTTTCTAAAACACCAATAGGAATCGCCGGAAAAACACTTACAGCGAGAGAGATAGCGGAGCCGTTTACTTGTTCTGCAATCTTTTTGGTAACTGAATATATATATATATAGGTTTAAGTGGGCTGTGGGCCCAAATCCATTTTGTTTTTGGGCTTTTACATCATTGCGGCTTTTAACATATGTAGTAAATTTTTTAAAAAAAGTATTATAATGTATGTGACTTAGTTAGATTTGACATTGAGTTTAAGAAAAAATGAAAGATTTTTAAATCTTATAATCTAAACTAAGAATGAAAGATTTTTGAATCTTATAGTTTAAATACGTAATATATGATAGAATTTGTATGACTATTAATCATTTTATTAAAAGTAAAATATATATTTTAAGATTAAATTGTTAGTTATTTATACAAAATTACAAATGTGTCATTTTTTTAGGCCGGCTAAAAAAGAAAATAAGTCATATAAACTAGAAGAAAGGATATAGAACAATTTTTCAATTCACAATTTAAGATATATATACATATGGATATAAAAATTCAAAATACACAATTTACATAATTGTATACTAATACACCATAGGCTAGCCGTAGCCGCTTATCAGCTATGCTCAATGCGGGATTTATGTACAAAAGGCTTTAAGAGCATGTTTGGCTCAGCTTAAAAGCTGGTCAAACTGGCTTAAAAGCTGGTCAAACTGACTTAAAAGCTGATTTTTGACTTATTTAGCTGTTTGGCTATACTCAAAATAACTTATTTTAAATTTAAAAAAACTTATTTTAAGTCAAAAGTTAAAAGGTGGGGTAGGGGTGCTTTTTTTTTTTTAGCTTATAAACTGTTTTAAGTTGACCACATTTTTATCTTTTTGCCCTTAATATTTTTATACAACTTCCAAATTACCCACATAACCCTAACATCTCTTTCTTCCATTTTTCCCTTTTCACGTTTGTCATAGCAACTTCAGCACTTTTATCCAAACACATAACTGCTTATTTTAAAAATAAGTTTCAGCACTCTCAAAAGTACTTTTTTAAAGCTGCTTTTATTAAGCCCATCCAAACGGGCCCTAAGCCTTCACGCAAGCAAGCACGAAGCTATCGGTTCCCCCGATCGACTAAAATACAACAGTAGCTATCTACTTACTTTGATTAAAAAAAAACGAAGAGTTTGTCAACAAGCAAACAACTTTCTATCATAATTGTAAATGTCATTTTATCGCTTAACCAATTAAACTACTAAAAAAGTTTTATTATTAAGTAAATGTCTAATAATTGATGAAATAATAATGGTCAACTTAGGACTAAGAGATCACAATTCACAAAGTTAGTATATAGAGCAATCAATTCACTTCGTAGAAATTAGAAGATCGCAAATCTGATTTCCGAAATATACGGCTAAACAAATTTTGGTTTCTTGAGCACCAAGTCGCTCATTTTTGCATATCTTCTATGGATAGTCAGAAACCAATATTTATATTAAATGACAAGATTAATATGACAGATGGATGAACTGAATTGAAATTAAATAAGTCAAAATGAGCGATAAATCAATTACTTGTTTAAAAGTTACTTGAATTGTAACATACCTAAAACATTGTGTCATAACTCAATCTTTTCGATTACAACTAAATTTTAAATATTCGTTTGTTTCCTTATTATTTGTGTGCATACCTAATAAAACTTAATTTTTTATGTTAAGAATAGATATAACATATCATAAAAAAAATATTCAAACAAAGCTTCTCATGGTACAATCTAAATTGCATATCATTCCTATTTTAAAATTGTTTGATTGAAGCAAATAAAAATGACCCGAACTAATAAAATAAGCGAATTATTAACCTCGTTCGAATTTAAATAAAGTGAATCAATCATAAATTTATGAACTAATTTTATCATCTCTAAACGAGACGTACGACATTAGAATACACCGTATTTGTGTTGTTCACTTGTCAATTGCCATATAGAAAGAAGAAAAACTTAAAGTGAGTAGTGTTACAAGCACACAACTTTAGGCAGTTTTTTGTTTTTTTGCTTACACGTAATTGTACTATCAAACATTTTTATTGTGTTTTCAACTAAAATTGAAGGGTCTAAATCTAATGGAATGGCTAAAATTACACGACATTTTCCTACTATTAATTATTACTTTTTTTTTTTGGCTTATACCGAAGTTTCATGTATCAATTATCATAATTATGGATTTAATGAACCATCAGACTACCGTTACATGTTTAATCTGTGACCAAAATTACAAGAAATGGACAATTAGGTGGTGTACTTGTTTGGATTTTGGTGTAGGGTACCGTGAACAAAATCTTATATTGATGGTTAAAAAAATAAACATCTTAATATTATGTACAAACTTAATCTAAATAGTAATGTCCTAGTAACATATTACGTTAAGAGTAACTTTTGAGTTATTTTAACCGAATAATTAATTAATTTGAAATTACCAGAAAAAACGAGTCTCTCATTCTAGATGATAAGGGAGGTGTCATTGTTTTGGTGACTCTCACTGACCTACTAATCTAGGAAGGACATCATTAATTACTTTAATCTTTTTAAAAGCATAATTAGTGCCAATATTATGATACTTTACAGAACAAAGTACTCAGCAAACCATCATTATATTGAAATTCCAACGTTAACAAAAGTAATGTATTTATAAAAAAATCGTGAACATTTAATTATAAACCCAAATATATATTAATTTGAAATCATAGTGTGAATTAACTAAAATATTTCCCCCAAATCAATTCAAATAAAGTTGCTGGTCAACCACTTTTTAATTAAATCATTTGTCTCGAGAAATAATAATTACTTGTATAAAATAGTATATAATAAAAAATGATTCAATGAAAAGAATATATAACAGTTAAGAAATGGCTGCTAGACTTGGGGCATATTTATATTTTTTTAATATAGAAATCTCACCCAAAAAATTAGGTCAAACATATTTGGTACAGAATATAATTGCCGCCCTAAAATTTTATCGACAACATTTGCGTTTCTAAATCATCCCCTCTTTTTTTTTAAAAAAAAAAGCGAAATTTAATTAAGAGTAAAACAATCTCATTGATCCACGATCCACGGCTCTAAGCCATCTTTATTTGACCTATTAACAACATATTTTCTTATTTAAAATATGACGGGATTCAAAACAAATTCGCCGTCGGTTGGATAATGACAAATTAATTCAGGCTGACTTTTGCAATTTATTCAACAAATCAGAAATCCATTGAATATATTGAAAGTCAAAAAATAAGATAAGATTTTACATCTCATTTCATATTTTTACATAATCGAGGAAAATACAGGAAAGAGCATTAAAAGAATTATCACAATGAAATGAGAATTTAAAAAAACCACGTGGCAGTGATCTGGAACAACAAGAAAGTTGATTGAATCTCGCTGGCAAAAATATTTGAATTCAACTGAAATTTTTGCAGCTTTCGTCCAGCCAAATCACAGCTCATTTCCCTACAACGGATAGCACAGACATCATGTGAGCCGTTACCCTTTCATTTTCATTATTCTAATTAACACAAATCAGCACCATGTATAATGCACCATCCCCATTTATTAACCATTACGAACTTTTTTATTTGACTGGACACAAAATTTAAGAGATAAAAAGAAAGTTTATCAAGAAGGAGAAATGTATAATCATACCAGATTTATGAGGAACTGGAACACATCATGCATTAACATAGTCCATACTGCCATTGCGCTGGCGTTTGTTGGAACTTGAAAAACAGCATATATGAGTCCATGATTTCTTCTTCTTCTTTGCGGGTTGCGTCTTTACATCTCTATTAGCAACCAGATCAGACATATATTGTACAACAACCTGAGCAAATAAAACATTAGTGATCGATATATCCAATCATGTTAAAATAACAAAATGATTAAACGAAACAAAACTAAACCTGTGCTCCCTTCTCAAGGACGCTTCCTGGTGGAACTTCCAAAGGATTTCCATCAGTTTTAAGGACCCGCAAACTTGAGAGCATCCTAAAAGAATCTGGAAGAACGCGTATCTGGTTGTTACTCATGTCCAATTCTTCGAGCAACTCAAGGTTACCAATGGACCTTGGTAGTGATCTCAGGTCTGCAAAATTGTTGCTTATGTTCAGCTTTACCAGTGAAGTAGCAAAACACAAGCTCTCAGGCACTGATTCGATTTCATTGAAACTAACATTCAGCTCTTTCAAACTTGTAAGGGATGACATAGTTGTAGGCAACAGTCTGATGTTATTGTACCGCGCAGTCAGAATCTCCAACGACTCAAGTCGTCCCACTGCTTCAGGAAGTGCTTTAAGATGATTGTAGTCCACACGAAGCTCTTTGAGCGAAGTACATTGACCAATAGTGTGAGGAAGTTCCTCAAGGTCATTAGTTTCCACAATCAATTTCTTAAGACTTACTAAGGAGCCAATTGTCTCAGGGAGTACTGATAGCATGTTAGAGCTCAAATCAAGTTCTTGAAGGTGAGCTAACCTAGCAAAACTCGCGGGCAACAACTTCAAGTTATTTCCACTGAGATCAAGATACACCAAGTTAAGAAGATCTCCAATACAATCAGGCAGTTCAACAATTTTGTTTGAGTGCAAATCTAGCTTTTGCAATGATAAAAGCCCCCCTATGGTGGTGGGTAGGACCGTAATGCGATTCTCAGACAGATCCAAAGTGATCAAACTCGATAGCTTCCCTATAGAATCTGGAAGCCATTCTACTTGATCAGATAACTTATTCCGTAGCATAAGCTCTCTACTTCCTTTTTTGGATGACACTTCAATCATACTAGCAAGCTTAATCAAACTTAATTTCTCACCATCTTGACCTACAAACAAAGAAACCAGTGTCTTTTTTGATTAAAAATACGAACTTTGAATCAACACAACAAAACAACAAGTTATATAATCAAATTCACTAGAAATGCATACATAACCAAATACGGTGCAGCAAATAGATGTAACATACCACTTATCGCCGACGGCTTTAAGGTGGAATCAACAATCTTAGGCCCTGATGAAGCATCCCCAGATCGAAGTCCAACACCAATTCCATCCACAAGAAACGTGGCTTTTGCCTTATTCAAGTAACTGTCGTCTCTACTATACAGTTCGGACGCTTTAATAGAGTCTTTTGAGTTATAAAAACTCGACGAAGAAGCAGCTGCAGTTGTGGTTGCCGGAGATTCAAGGCGTCTGTTGCTGTTGCCGGAGAAGGAAACTTGGTTTGCCAAAGACAAATCATTAGGTTCAATTGAAGAAGAAGAAGAAGACGGGTCATTATCATGAGATTTAGAAGGCAAACATTTGGTAGCTCTCTGAATCAAATCGTCGAACACACTGTGAATATTCTCGAGATCTAAAAGTTTCAAGGCCTCCCTCTTTTGTTCTTTACTCTGAAAAAGAAGAGCGTTCCTCTGCATCTCTTGCAAAATTTTGAATAGCTCTTCTGGAACACCTTTCCTTTTATTTTGCCTCATGATAGCTTCTATTTTCAACTGATCTTCTTTCTCCAGATTTCCAATTAAAGCTCTTGCTGCTTCAACCTCATCAATCGATGGTCTTGTCGGTAGAGATCCATGAATTCTCATAATTTCTTGCACAATCTCATCAATCGACATTCCTAACGACCCCATTTTCAATAATTCTCTGAAAATTTATCGAAAACAAAAAAACACCCACATAAATTAATTCGACATAAATACAACTCCGGCCACAAAATTAAACTCAGACTGCCCTTTCTCCTTGTTCTGTATGTATTATTCAAAGCAAGGAATTTCGCTCCATCCAAACCAATCAGCAGATCAAGAAAAAATGAAAACCGCAGCTAAGTTTTTTCGTTTCTACAAGTTTCTAGAAAGCGCCAATCAACGATGACAGCAAATTCAAACCTTTACCCACATGAAAGCATGCAAAGTAAAGCTTATTTTTCGCCGTATTTTCCTATATGGAGAACAACTGTTTTCAAAAACAACAAGAGAAAAAAAAAAAAAAACTCCAAACAATTATTTAAGGAAAGAAATTGACTCACACTATTTAGTAGCTTTTCTGTCCAAAGTAAATCCAAAAAAAATTCTGAAAGTATACGTGAAATGTGGAGAACAGAGAGAAGAAGAAGAAGAAGAAGAAAGGGAAGAGAAAGGATGAGTTATCTAAGACAGAAATGTGTCTTGTTCGGTTCTGTAGAAAATCCAACGACATCCATCGTGGGTTTATATACCTAAAAGAAAAAAAAAATCATTTTAATTTATTTATCCTAACTTATAAAATTTGTAAATATTTTCATATTGAAAAATAAATAAAAATTATTAGGCAGTTAATGATAAGACAATAATTTGATTCAATTTTTAAAAATACGGTGGACTCGATTATGACTGAACGGTTATTAAACGGAAATCCACTTATATTAGAGCAAAAAAGGAGAGATTTCCGGAAATGACCTTAGGAAAAATATGAAATGACGAAATTAACCCCGGCTCTCCTTGGATTCTCTCGGACTGCTGATGGGAACTTTTTCAAAGTGACTAACACTCTTTTGATTTTGATCTCACACTTCATGCTGCTGATATTAAAATTACGATAATTAATTTTATAGGTCACTTATAAATTATGAATTTACAACAGTAACATTATTTTTTATTTGATTTGTAAATAGTCAAAAGATCTTAATGAATATTTTTGGCATTGTTACAAGTAGCAGCAAGAATTGAGTTAAAAGATGAAATATATCACGTGAGTAGTGGTTATGGAGCTTTATGAAACAGTCAAATAAAATTCGACTATACATATATATATCGTCGTTATACATTTGAGGCAAACTCTTTTATAGAAATATGTAGGTTCAACGGTTAGTTGAAAGGTACTTGAAATGGTCCTTGATGAGTTAATGTATTTGCCTTTTGATGTGTTAAAAAAGCAAAATTTTCGTTCATCAATTACTCGTCATTTTTATTATAGACTGACAATTGTAAATATTCAAAGGTTGAGTGTTTGAGATTTTAAATTTAAAACTCAGTATAAATAGAAAATAATACTAACTGACTCTTTCTGTCTATTCTAGTTTTGATGAGTAAAATTATTTGATACTTATATATAATAGATCGTCGAATCTCCTTCGACTTATGTGTCTATTTCTTTCAATTTTAAATCTATTTATCAAAAAGTGTGACTCCGACAAATATTATATGAAATTAATCCAAAAAAATAACTCAAACACCAAGTTCATACACATGAAACATGTATATTGCCTTTTGATGAATGGTCTGTTTAATTAACTAGGGCAGCATGAAGAGGAAAAAAAACTTTATAGGCTATACCAAGTGATTATCCAACTGTAATCACTATGAAATATTTCACCTACGCGTCATTTTATAATGCTAACAAGAACAAAATATTGTTATACTAATAACACGGCATCAACTTATGTATGACTTTTTTCTTTTTCTTTTTTTACAATTTCACCCATCTGAAATCCGTTTCTACTTATATATTATTGCTATTCAGAAATTTTGAGTTTTTTCCATTTAATATTACTATCCTTTCGTTCATATTACTTGTTTTATGTTAATTTTTTCATCCGTCATTATAAATAAAATAATAAGATTTTATATTTTAAACAAATAAGTTAGTACTACTTTTAAAGCCGCAAGAATCAACAATAAAAGATTCTAAAGTTCAAACTCCATCAATCTTTTTCAACATTCATGAATTCAACTTTTTATATATATAAAAAGAAATTGTGAAAAAAGTATGTTGTCCTTTTTTTATCTACGTTTCAGATTCACCTAACAATTTAATATATCAACTACTGCTTTCCACGGTCAATTTACGGATAAGAACTAATATATAATTTTAATTAATCAATTTTTGAACATGATTCGTTAACTAAAGGAAAAATGTTGAACGTTTGTATATAAATAAATACTTTGTTGTTTAATCTGAGTTGTCACATGGTTTTGCAAATTGCAATAGTATAATTCCTTCTTGCATGTTTATGACTGATTCAAACATTCAATAAATCATTTATAAAAGAAATAAATTGAAGTGGAATAAATGCAACCTCTACAAAGGAATGAATTGAGGCAAGGTATTTTTAATATGATGCTAGTCATGCTACAAACAATAGCTTTTGACAATATTTACACTTTGCGTGAAGGTAATAATTAAGGAGTAGTTTGCCCGAGGATATTAAATAAAATAATGTAGGTATTAGTTTTGATGTCACTAATTTTTTGTTTGATATATACTTCCCCCAATTTATGTATAAAGCAACCAAACTAGCTATTAATTGGTATTGTATTAGGGAATTCTCGTATATAGCTACTCAAAAATAGTTTAAATTAAGTTAGATAGTTATAGTTTGATATTATGATTCGTAGCTATATGTTATAGGGAAGAGAATAGCGAGTGAGATTGGGAGACGGGGGAGAGAGGTGAGCGAGTGGATAAAGGAAAATTGTATATGTATATATGTCAAATTGCATACATATACCAGTCAAATAAATTGTACATATGTAACTGGTATACATATGTATTTATATATCTGGCGAGCGAGATTAGAAAAGGAGTGAGAAAGGTAAAAAAGTTGAATATATGTATATTGATTAAATAATTGTATATATATAATGATTATGTATATGTATCAGTTGCTGTAGTTGTATACATGCATATAATTTAAACTTGTATACATAAGTTGAGTTAAAATACTTATATTTATAAATGCAATCTTTCTCTCATTTATACAAGCACAAATTAGATATAGAATTTGCATAATTTGTGTCTATATATATATATAAAGAGAGAGAAGGGGGTGGGGGGGCAAGAAAGACATGACCTGAAAAAAATTATATTGCATAATTATAAGTGTATATGAGCTGTATATCCCACTCTCTACTTTATACAAACACAAATAAATCATACAATTGTATATGCATAAAGTGAGAGAGAGATTGCCATAAGAGAAGAGATAGAGCTTGGTCATGGAGAAGACAAACGAGAGAGAAAAAGAGGAGAATGATGAGCGAGATTTCAGGGAGAGGCGAGAGAGAAGGATGAAAGAGGCAAGAGAGAATATAATCATAAATAAAAGTAAGTTTCAGATTGCAATTAATGCAACCTATAACTATGTTAGCTAATTAACTAGTATATATTTGTTTAATCACGTAATTTTTTATTGTATTATGCATAACTAGTGGTAAGAATTATGACATTAACAGTACTGAAGGTATAACAAGGGAAGAGAGTCGAAAAAAATATGTGAAATAAACAAAAATGTTATCCTCATGATAGTTTGACTCAAAAATACCATTATCATTATGTTTTGATTCAAAAATGTTTTTATAGTCAATAGTTTAGTTTAGAAAATGTCCCTATATTTACTAAATAGGTTAAAAATACTCTTTCCAAATAAATATATTATATATAAAATCATAGTACATTCATCATTAATATTTATGTAATGCTGAAAACACTGAAAAATAAAATAAGAAATATTTTTATTTTCCATTTTTTCTAAATTGAAGTAGGATTAAAATTTGCTACTTTTTGAAAATATTATAAAAAAGAATGTGTTCATAAATAATATATATATTTGTGAAATGAGCTTTTTTGATCCATTAAATAATAATAAAGATAATTTTGAATCAGAACATTAACCATAAAAATATTTTTAAACCACATTGTTTTGCCCTTTTACCATATATATACGTTGTCATTGTTAAAAAATACAATTGTATTTAATATTAAATTTTATACACCTATCAAGCAACCCTTCAAATGATGGTATAATAGGGTGGATACGATGCAAGAGAGGTGTGATCAACATTTATAGTGAAACTTTGTCCAATGAGTTAAATTTCTTTTCAAAAATAATTTTTTTTATATAACTTTATGTTTATTTAACTTCTTCAAACGCTACTTATAATATTATCGTGCATATTATTTGTCATATTTTAAAATTCATTATCCGAAAAAAGAATGGGGCCCAGTAAGGTCGAGATGTGGTGGTTTGACAGAGTGAAACATCTTTGGAATTCGGTTGGATAATAGGCACGTGCACACGTATGTAGCCTGCCATTTCCACCTTCACGCCATTACCGTTTCTTCTGTTTCACTTCTCCTTTTTCTCTTTTCATGCTAATAATAATAATATTAACATAATATATTGACATTAGCTTACGGATAATTATGACTCGAGTAGACACTTAAAACTATATAGAATTATTAAATAAATAAATGTATATATTTTACATGTACATAAAATACAAAACTGTCATATCAGACAAATATGTATTTATTTAATTTTTATAAATTATTTAAATATATATTTATAAATACTTAAAAATTAAATTATTGTTATCAACTAACATCAAATCACGTATTAATATTAATATAATAATATCACCATCTTCTGGTCATGGGTTGGCATACAAATTTTCTCGACATGAAAAGATGGCAACTTGACTATCCACGTGGACAACCACACATGCCATGTCTTTCTCTATCGGTAAATGTATAAATATAACATTATTAGATATAATATATTAGTAATTCTGGCTGATGTACTAAAAATAATATTCATCGTATAAATCTTTTAAAAAGCATATATTTTATTTATAAAATTATTCTTCACCAAATACAATAGAAAGATGTGAAAATAATTTTAAATAGGAAAAATTGTATATAATAGCAAACTAATAATCTAAATTAAATGAAAAAGTTAGGGTTTGATTTAATTGTGCTCCATAGCAAACATTAGCTAAAATTTGCCAGCGTCTCTCTCCCAAAAATCTCTCTCGCCTCTCTCGCTTTATACACAGAAGTGTATAATTCTGTTTCTGTTTTGTATAAAGCGAGAGAAAATTGTATATACACATGCAAAAATGTATATCTTCATGTTATACACTTAATTATACAATTTACAAACATTTTACTTCAAATATTGCAGAGAAAAAGGCCAACGAATTATACAATTGCGAATTATACAGTTGCAGTGAAATACAATTTTCTCTAGCTTTATACAACAGAAGTGTATATATTGTGTTTCTATTTTTGTATAAAGCGAGAAAAACATATATCTTCTTGCTATGCACTTATGATTATGTAATATACATACATTTTAATTCGATTCAACTGTATGCAAAATAAATTATTCAATTGCAGCGAATTATACAATTTAGGCCAGCGAATTATACAATTGTATATGTATAGCAAATTATACAATTTTATGTTTGCTATGGAGCGCAATTATGCAACGTTTGCTATAGCATACAAATATGAATTTTTTATTTGCTATATGTGAAAGTTGCCCATATTAAATAACCATGCTAATAGATACATTAAAATCCTGTATATTACTATGATTTCACATGTACTAGTTATACGTAAAATATATTATCAAATAGTCTATATATATTTCTAAATAGTCTATATATATTTCTAAATAGTCTCTCTATATATATTTTACGATTTTATAAAATTTAAAAATATATCAAATAAAATATTAATACATTCCAACAAACCGCTTTAAAAGCGTCCCAACTTTATCTCTCCCGTCCCCTTTCCTTTGTCTCCTTGCCTGCTTTTCGTTGCCAGGCCCAATCTATGTTACAAGACAGCCATAGATATTTATCTCTTTTTGGAGGACTTGGGACAAGTTTGTATTAAACATCAATATTATAATTTTTATGATAAAAAGTATATACTGACTATAGGATATAACGTATTAAAAAGTTATATAGAGAAAGAACATTGACTATACAATATATCTTACGCTTATACATGAGTTATATATTAAGTATATAATTATGTTATATTTTAAAAGTTAAACAATTTAACGATACACGAAATATATAGTGATAAAATATGAAGTATATATTAACTATTCATTCTCAATCAACTTAAAATCATCTCTAAGCTGTTTCATAACTTTGATATGACATCCTTTCGATATATCAAATTTTTTGATAATATAATTCGCTTGAAATAATTTACATTGTTTTTTTGAAGTAATCAAGAAACAAATGAAGAAGTATGAAAAATGGATTAGCAACAAAAGAAGAAGAAACAATGAAGAAGACCAGAACCCGGTGGCCATTTCATTTTAGAAGAACAAAATGACATGTAAAGTAATTTGTCAAAATTGGGTCCAAAAAGTGGTAAGTAAAGTTTAGGAATATGTTAAGCAAATATATATTAGTTAATTATTATTATAGTTATAGTTTTGGTTAATTAACGCTCGCGATTAACATCTAATGATAATTATGGACTGGAGTTTAGATTCGCATATTTGTATAATTTAAAATGTGTATAATATAATTTGTACGATGTAATATTGTATAACTTTTTAAAAAGTTTAGATGTTTTCGTTTGTATGAATTTGTTATTTTTAGTTCATACAAAAATAACTTAATTATACAAACGTACTCGTTAATTATACAAATGAAACAACTTAAATTATAGCTACGATTCAATAATATACAAAGTATAACTATGGAGTATAATTAAGTTTATTATTGCGAAAATTATGTGTTGCACAACCGATTGCCGAAAAAATCAAGATCAAGCCCGCAGGCCCAAGAGTCTAAGCCTTAACAAATCCTTTGAAAGTATTATGGGCCGATATCGTTTTAGGCCCAATCAATTCACACTGATTCGGCCCAATTAACAAGAATGTTAAAATAGGCGCAAATTTAACTTTTCTCAGCCCTCAAATTGTTGCCACTGCCTGGCGCCGCTTTGGCTCATCTCCAGCTCTACCGGCAACTCACTTTCTCCTTCCCCGACGAAATCAAAGTGTATGATTCTCTTTTATCTACCTATTATCGTTCTTATGTATGCTTTTAGTAGACAATAACACTTTTTTCAGCGAAATTTAATGGTAAAAAACGATTTTTTGGTGAATTGGATTGTACCGTTCTGTGATTGCCTGAATGCTAAATTACCGATTATATCGGTGTTATTGCTGTTTTTGAATTGAGATATACTTGTGATTTCATTCTTGAATTGAGAGGTCTCAGTGATTACAAAGACACCAAACCAGTCATTGTTTTGGAGTCACTTTTAATGCACATTATAAAGATCAAAAAAACAATTTAGAACTTGATCTTAGAAGACTCTAATATTATTCTGTCTTGTTGGATGATCATCTTTTTGTAAATTGTACTTCCTCTTCCAAAAGAAAAAAGAAGAGGAAAGACTATTGCAAAGATGTGCATTTAACTGGTTCTTTTTCTTGAATAAGTCTTTCATGAGTTTATTGATGAAATGATTCAAGGGGTTTTCTACATGATTATGTTTCACAGAAAATTTGCGCAATATTTCAACCCTAGTCAACATAATGGGAATGGAATTACATGCTGAAAGTGCGGGTTGTGCTGAGATGGAGATTGCTGAGATTACGGATTCAGATTTGTTCAAACTTGTTAGACATGCCCTTAAATCTGTTATCCAGGTTGGATGCTTGGATACATATTTTAAAGGAAAATTATGTTCTTATAATTGCATTGGGTTGGGTTAGCTGGTGTGCATGCCACTGCATGGGAAATCAAGGTTCAACTGTATGAGTCAGCATAAACCTTGAATTTTTTATTTATTTTTGCCTTAATTCTTTGCTAGCCACGGTTTATGGTGGCTAAAGTACTTATCTAAAAACAAAAGGAGAAGTATCCTTCCTGCTAAGATGTCTCTTTTGAATAGTTGATTGAAGTCGACATAGGTTCTCCAGATTGATTGACCTGGTCGAGTGTTGACTTCCTTGGAGATTAAGAGTCAAATGTTTGGATGTTAGTTGTCTCTTTGTTATTCAGCAAGTACTAGCCAGCCAAATAATTTCATTGATTCCTTTTGCTGAAAATAATGTTTTTTTTGCCCATCCCCACTTCGTTTTCTTTCCTGGCAAACATCTTCACAAGATGTGAAATGTATGAACCTTCTCAGTTGCTGTTTTCACTGTTGCATGTGCAATGCAACTTCCTTTATAGTTTCCACATATTTACCATAGCACTGTAAAACAATTTTTATAGCTGAATGTTGGTATATTAGGGTGATCCAGACCAATATGAGCAGCTTCTTCGTGTTATGCACCCTGATGAAGGCGTTTTACCTGATGTGGCCCTACTGGTGGTATGTCTTTCTTAGAGATTGCACATATATTGGTCATCTTCCAATCACTTTTTGTGTTGGTTTCTTTTACTTTGTATTTTAATTATGGCTTGATTTTGGATTTGCATTTCAGACATGTTTAAAAGCTCTGTCAGGATCAGTTTCTTGTCTAGACATTGTTCACCATAAATCTCTTATTGCATCTGTAAGTTCTTAATAATTGTATTTCCTCTCTTAATCTGTGTTTTTGAAGAATACAGGTTGGCACTGGTAAAGATTGTATACTCAAAATGTGTTATTTGCTTGCAGATTTTACAAATGAGCATGTGGAACTATGGAACTGATGTAATGGATGCTTTGATGGAATTTAATATATCCTTGGTATGTGACTCTAGTGTTACTATCTTCAGTATTTTGGTCATTAGTCTGTATGATCATGACTCTTCTCCTATGCTGTAGGCTACATCCAGTGGGCAGTATGTAGATCTGTGCTTGGAAATGCTTGTGAGCAATTTTATGCCTCCTGATTCCTTCATATCATTGTTGAATCAGCCACGTGGCATTCTACGGAAGGGCCAAGTCATTGACCGTGTCCATTCAACATTAACATACATTGCAAAGTTAGTTCCTCTCTCGCCCTTGAGACTTGAGAGAATGATAACGGAGAGGATGCCACACATTTTCACAAAGGAACCAGTAAGTGCAGATTCATACTTTCTTTACAAAGAAAATTCTTCCATTATGTAGCTTATTGCAAGTGTTCCAATCCTACTGACTTTTGCTTGAACTAGTTAAACCTGCATTGCCAGAACCTCGTTGTTGATACACTTTCTTCTGTGTTGTGTTCCTTATTGCTGGAAGCTCCTAATTTCTTAGCCATGTTTCCTCCTCTCCGCCCCCTTTCCCCTCACGTGCAGTTGATTTTGATATATGTGGAGAACATGTTAAAACTAGAGAGTGGAGCAATTGGTGATCTTGTTGGGAGAACAATGCTTGTGGCAATTATGGATAAGCTAATAGATTTGGATGTAAGTTGTTTGAAATCAACCCTTCACTCAGGCACTGTGTAAATTCTTAAAGGTGTTGCACTAAGTTAATTTGGTTCTTGTCCTTGGGTTTTCTTAGGTAGATATAGCATGGGATGATATCTTACAAGAAGATTTCACCAAAGGCATCTTCGATATGGAGCTGGGAGATCTCGAATGGCCAATGGATGATGGCCAGCAAAATGGTGACGAGGTGATTTTCATCTTTCAACTGATATTCTTCTGTATTTTAGTGCTGGCATTGCCACTAAATTTGTTTCCTTGACTTCTTTTTTGTGTATGGGGTGTTTTAGTGCATCCGTAAATATCCCGTTTGATGTTAGATGATTGGGTGAATTTTTTTATAGAACCATGTTTAGCCCTGTCCATACGTTGCATTATTCTGTTCACTTCTCTCCTTTTATTTGATTGAATTTTTTCATGACGGTAATATGGAAGGAGAGGAAAAGGAGATCGTATGAGGGGAGGATGATTTTGTACATGCGTGGAGTAGCCTTGTGTCTCTAATTTCTTTTGGTGCATCCGTAAGGATCCTGTTTGGTGTTGGATGATTAGGTGAAATTTTTTATAGAACCATGTTTAGCCCAGGTTTCTTTAATTTTGGGTATAATACTTGCATAGAGGGATTCCCAATATGAATAAAATCATTAACCTTATTAAAAATGATTGCTCTTAGTCTTGAAGAGACGTAGAGTAGATAAAGATTACATGATGATTCAGAAGAGGGTTTCCTAGATTGTTTCTTTTTAAATCTGCGGTGACTGTCAACCTTGAGAAAAATTTGCCTTTTTGACACTCTGCGCAAACTTTAACCAGTGTGTAAGTGGTTAAAAGGACTATTTCTTCAAATCTATTTTTCCCTAATAAAGGTCAGTTTGCCCACAACACCTTTTTCACCCTTCCCATATTCACGTGTAGACAACTTTCGTTTTTCACAGTGTTGCTCAACCATTTAAAGGTTGCATTCAATTAGATTTGGGTATCAATACAAATAGGGTGAGTCATTCTTTCCTGTTGTGTTAAGTTCTATCCCTTCTTTTCCCTGATGAACTAGTCCGTGGTTGTCTTGTATCAATACAATCGTTACGAATATCAGAAATACTGTATTGTATTGTATGCTAGGCTTATATTTTAATGTTTGATTTTCATCAATTTTTTTATTTTATATATTTTTTTTAAAGTAAAGTTATTTGAGGGCTCATTGTGGGTATTGAACCCACGACCAGTTGACCACAAGGTTAAGGGTTGTACGGTCTACTGACTGAGCTCATCTATATTTTTAATCTGGTATTTGTCATCTGCCCTTTATATACTGACTAAGTTTTTACTTCCAGCTCCAAATATCTTGGATGGAACGGTATTTTAGTGGAAATCTAAATGCTCAGAAATTGGATAGTTTAATCGTCCTTACCTTTGAACACCTTAACATTTGCAAAGAGAGTGGACGCCTGAGTCAGGTAAAGTGAATGCATCAGCGTGTAATTTCTAACTCCGCTCCGTGCTTTTCTTACTTCTATTTTTCTTTCGAATGGTGTAGGTTTTTCATACTCTTCTCCAGTCTTTTCAGCAAACTGTTTTGATGGCATACAAGTCTAAATTTGCTCAGGTAACATGCATGATTATCATCCTCCACTACATAGGCTTGTCTTTCTTTTCCCAGCACTTCTAAATTTGATGAACACGTTGTTAGTTAATTTGTCTTACTTCAATGTACTTATTGCCTTTCTGAACTTAAATTTGTTGATCCTGTTATTGCAGTTTGTGTTGTTTTACGCCTGTTCACTGGATCCTGAAAACTGCGGTAGGAGATTTGCCGATACGCTATTTCATAAATTTAAGTCAAGTAAATATCCAGAATGGAGGTGAGGACTAAAGAATTTTGAATCTTGGGTTTCTTTTTCTTATCCTTCTCACTTGTTTCGCCCTGACATTCCGTCTTGTTGATCAATATGTTTAGTCATGTATTATGGATACACAACTGCTTGCTAAGTTTGGTCTTCTGTCTGAGTGTTTAGCATGTAACTCTTTATGATACTGGGTGCATGAACTCAAGACCATTTCATCTTAAAACATAATTTTGGAAGCTAAAATCAACAGTCTGCAGTCCCTGTTTATTAGAGAATTTTCTTTACAGAACTCTGCGTTCATCTCTCCTCTCTTATTTAATAAATATGCTATATGTTGGAAGTGTTTAGATTTGTTGGGGTATTGCTTGGGTCTCCATATTATTCCCTTATTGATACTGCCATTGAATTTTTGTGCACTCAAAGTCAAAGTAATATTCCTTAGTCAAACTAGCAGACTTTCTGCATAGGCTGCTAATATAACATGCCATCAAAAATTCAAAATAGTGGTCCTTAAAACTCAGATTATCGTGCTTCAGTAACCTGTCGGTTGTGTTGGATAAGACAGAAGGCATTTGCCATTTTTTTACTTGTCAGAAGGTTTGACGTGTTTTTTTTTGTGATCTTTTGCTTAAAATTTTAAATGCAACTGAACACATTTGATACTCTCTTGAGTGTGGATAACTCTGATAGTTCTTTGATTATTAGTTCATCAAGGGGTGGGGCTGTCTGGTAGTTATATATTTTCTAGTTATATTCATTTTGTTCATGGCTGTTTGGAGGAACTAATTCTTTTATTGGTCTCTTGCAGAATGAGTGCTGTTGCCTATCTTGCTAGTTATTTGGCTCGTGCGAAGTTTTTGCCCATCTCATTTGTTGCTGAATATGTAGAAAGGTTTATCCGATGACCAAACATCTTCAACTCTATATTCAATATATTTATAGTTTTGAGTTGCTTCTATCAGTCAGTAATGAATTCAAATGCAAGTCAAGTCATAGATTTCTTTTCTTCTTCTGTGTGAGGGTTCAGTTTGCTGGAATGGTGTTCTTCTTATTGCTTCAACCAGGGTGGCAGCATCAATCCAAAAGCTCACAAGGAATTCTATGCTGGGTGCCAGGTACTCGACAGCTTTGTTCTAGTCAGAACCTTCAGTAGTCTGTTCCTCTCCCTCATTCACAAAGACCTTCATTCTTTTTATATTGTTTGAGGAGTGGGGGATTTTTTCTGTACCTTTCCGTGGACCTATTTGAAGGCTTCCCAAATTATATTCCTGGTGTTAATTTTATTTATGTATCATTTATGTGCCAGGAAGCGAAAAGGGAAGTGTTAGAAAGTTAATTTTTTTTTCCTGTGAATTACAGTGAACTTCGTAGAGAAGTGGTTAAAAAATTTCAATTAAAAGGACTTTTTAATTATAAAGAATTAAAGACTTCTTTCAAATTAAGTCTGCAAAATATGTAGGGAATTTGAAGGAAGACTTACCTTGGAAACCAATCAACGCGAGAGAATAGTTTTTCATTTTTTTTTTCTTTAGCATGTCACTTTTAGAAATTTTTTTGATATCCAAATAAATTGTTACTGATACTGTTCATTATGCAGGCCTTGATGTATGTACTTTGCTTTCGCATGAGATCAATGCTTGCTATTCCTCGCATCAGATCACGTATATCAAAGCATATAGAGGATATCCTGAGGCATCCTTTGAGCCCATTAATGGTAATGTGTTCTTTTTCTTAGTACATGACTCTAACATTTCGTTTTATTCATCCCTGGCAAGCTTAGACAACATAGGAAAAAGGGGTCATTGAGGATTCATATAAATGTCCCTTTGATCTTAGGTCTTGGTTGTTGTAAGCTTCGATAACTAAAGGCATGTAGAGGAAATTTTAATTGAATTAAAATCTCTTGGAATGCATGTGGATTATAGTGGAAGCTAAGTATTCATATAGCTGATACAAGCTAGGTGATATCAAGGTATATAGTCACTGGTTCCATCTGCATTAGACCGGTGTTTGAAAGTGGTCTTATAAGTTTTTTGTTAGATATTTATGTTAGTGTTGGAATAAACATGAGATTTAAAATCTCTAATTTTGGAGGACCCTAAGTTGTTCAAAAGACAAATAATTGAGTGTTGGTGGAACAGCCCCAAATAAAGTGGAGTAGTTGATAACCAATCCCAAATTGGGATTAAGGGGTAGTTATTGTTTAAAAGTTTCTTGTGTTTTTTCTTTGATATTAGTGGACTCAAATGAGAAGTCATCCAAGGCTTGTATGTGCTTCTGTTAGTGGAATTCTCTACTTCTTTGTTAATTCGAGTGTCTAATGAATATTTTACCTACAGGTATGCTTGCCATCAATAGTGGAAGAATTTCTTCGGTTGGCAAAAGTGACTCATCTTGATGTGCCGGATAATGTTGTATCAAGTAACCTGCTTGAGTCGGAACTTTCAATGGCTTTTGGTGGTAGGGAGAGGCTTGACACATTTTTCCCGTTTGATCCCTGTCTTCTAATGAAATCTGACAGGTTTGTTTCTTTATTGGCATTTTTGACTTCTCTTGTTCATTTTAATTGGTTGGTTGGATATTGAAGCTCCTTGCTTACCTGAGAGTGAAAATTTTCTGGTGATTGTTCTATAATTAGTGGATAATTTTGTCTCATGTTGCCATATGTTTTTGGAAGATTCATCCGGCCAAATTTTGTGTACTGGTCAATGGTTCGGAACTCTTATGACAATGATGATGATGATGAGGGTACTAGTGATGAAGACGATATTGAAATCTGTACAGCAGGGAACGGGATAAATATACCTAATGATGGAGCTGCCCGAAGTTATGATCAGGATCTCGATGAATTTGGTAATAAAATGAGCAAAATGTCCATAACACCTAAAGTTGCTCAATGGGGGGAATTACAATCCGGCAGGCAGATGCCTTCAAGTTTGCTACCTTGCCCTGATTCCTTGTAGAGATTGATCTGCACCGTTTGATGACCTTGAAAGAGGAAATGCTTGCCCTTCCATGGCAAAGAAGCGTCGTATCAAAATGCCTGTCCTGGTCCGTGGTTGGTTATGGCAAGACACTGAGATTATGTGATATCCATTATATCCTAGATTCATGAGAGGCCTTCACCCTGCCTGCCTGCCTGAATACATCCCGCGAGATGTTAAGAGGTCAAGTTTTGTGTTCACAGCTAATGTTATTTGTAATATTTAGCAATAGTTGGTTTGATGATGAGAACTAAATGTGTAAACACTCAAATTCTCTTGTATTTTTCTTGTTGGTGTTAATATATTATGGTAAGAGTATATTTTAAATGTTTCGAAGGGTGCAATACCATACTATACTTGAAGAGGATTTTAATTAGGTGGAATGGCCTTTTAAGGGAGAGATCCTTTATAATTATCATATGAACAAGTTGAGGGAGCTAGTGGAGTAGGAAATGACAAATGTCTCTTTTTATTCATTAACTTTGTTCATCATGTAGATATAAATTTAAATCCCAATGTATAGCAATAAACCACATGCCTGTTTTCAGATTGAGAAAACAATTAACTAGTAAATAAGGAATGAAGAAGCTGGAAAGTAAAAGAAGAAAAATGTTTTCTGTGCATATATTTGTACAAAAAGATAACTGTTGCTCAATCCATATAAAAAAGAATTGCAAAGCTGCAGACTACATTCTCACATCACATAGGTATTATCAATAACAAGAGAAGCATTCTTTCGTCTCCAGGGCATCTCTCTTCTTCTTAGTTTAATCAGGCGGACTTAAAGTTCCGACTGACATAGCACTTTTGAGTGTTAAAATCTTGTGTGTGTTGAAGCTACCAACAATAACCTGAACATCAGTTGCTGCTGTAAGGAGCCCTGCCACATTGATATAACCATCTGCTTCACCATCAAGTAGCACCAGATTCCAAGACAAAGAAGAAACCAGACAGATAAATGATCGGGAACAGTACCTGCACCAAAAGTTTCAAACATAAAATCAGCATATCACCACACAAGGCAAAACTACACCCCCCCACTCTCTATTGTAAGAAGATATGTTTCAGTTCCACTTGTTTTGTGAAGTAATACTTTAGACATGGAACCATTGGCGCACACTGATTTTGAGCTACCTTTGCAGAATGACACTATTTTGGCCAATACATCCTGAGAAGCAGCTAACAATACATGCTTATCAAAAGAGAGGCACACCTCCCCAGCTTCTACCTTGCTCGCCTGCGATTGATTGCATAGGTCCAATATCTGCTGTGTAAGTTGTATATCAGAGATTTGGCAGAAAGGAACATACAAATTATCAGCTATTACACTCTAAATTCATATTCGGGAATGAGACCTTTTCTGATGCTAACAGGACAAAATCAATCTTTAATATTAAATCCCTTGTTTTCTTTATACTAGTATGAAAGCAGGCAATTATTCGACATTTTGCAGAAGAAAATTGCAAAATTTAACAAAAATCGAGCAGAAATATTCATAATTGTAGCCCGTAATGCTAGTTGTAACACAAATAAAAAGAATATTCAAGATTTTGCACAAGAAAATTGCAGAACTCAACAAGAATCGAGCAGAAATATTCATATGGTATAAAGAATCGTAGCCCTAATAATAAAAGTAAAGCAAGGCTAGTTGTTGACAATTATACATGTGCATAATATAAAAGTTCACTTCAGATATATATTTACCTGAACCAAACACTTATCTTCTTGGTTTTAGAACCAGGCGGTCTTCCTCTACCCCTTTTCGCAGGCACAGCAGAAATCGCCGCTTCACCTGCCGTAGACGGTGAAGGAGTAGTCATCCCAGGGCTCGCTAAATCTGCCTGCTCTGAGACCAAACTACACCGCCGCCGACCTGAGACGGTGCTACATCTGCCTGCAGCTGCGTAGGAGACGAAAGTCCACCGCCGCCGACCTGAGACGGTGAAAGAGTAGTCATCCCAGGGCTGTCGCTACATCTGCCTGCAGCTGCGTAGGAGACGAAAGTCCACCGCCGGCGACCTGAGACGGCGGAGCAGTAGTCATTCCAGGTCTCGCTACATCTTCCTGCGGCTGCATAGGAGACGAAAGTCTGATCAGTGCTCGCGGAACTCTCCATAGCATGCTTCTCCGGCCTTCCGCGTTTCATTTTATAAATGACCAAGAAATCTTAATTCCTTTGATCATCTGTCTAACTCTAATTAATAACGGTGTACGTAAAATCGCATATACAATTTCTTTTAGTGATTATGGAGTTTGATTCTTATTTTGAGATTAAAATCAAAAGAGAAAATTGAGGTTATTGATTTTTTCTAAGGAAGTTCACCATGTTTAAATAAGCGATTGAACTAGATAAAGATTATGAAATAAGGAAATAAGAAGAGTTGTTTGTATTAAAAAAATTGAACATAGAAGCTATTCTTCTTCTTCGTCATCAGGATGTATAATGGATGGAGGGCAATACTGAAAAGGGCAATATTGGAAAGAACAAACATTGTTGTTTGATGGTGGTGGGGGAAGTGGAACAAGACTCTCCTTGTAATAGAAGATTGACGAGTAGTACATACTATTGTCAATAACGACTGGAAGATCTTTAATTTGATCGGTGTGCCTATCGTAGAGACACATTTTTGATGGCAATCCCTTCATTCTAATGACCACAACTTCACCATTAAAACGAAAACCCATGGGCTGCAGGTCATACTCTGTTTCAAATGTGTATTGCTTACTCCAACATTCTGAAGCACATCTGTAGTCATTTAGAGCCCAAAGTGTGTAGGAATAATTACAATAACCTTGTTGATTTTCGTCGCTAAGTAATGAACCAAAAATAGCTAGTCTATCATCATTCAGTAGTAAAAGCTTCCGGTGGTACGATTTACAACGTTCCATGCCGTTGGTAAATGGTGTACCGATCTCTCGCAACTTGTCTTCCGTCATATCAAACGCAATTACAATACTCGGTCCTCCTTCGACTCTACGCCCTAACCAATGAATAGCATCATTTGCATTCAGACAACGACCACCAAATTGGGTGATCTGGTAAGGAAAATCCACGTCTATTTCCGTTGCTGGGAGGAATTTCATACTGTCATCCCACCTTGTGATTCTAATATAAGCGGAATGGTTTAAGTAGAGAATGATCCTAACCAACTTGTACTCGTTGGTGATGGGAAGGAAGGTGAAACCTGTAGCTAGATCAGTCGCTAAACTATTAGAGCGCATTGTAATATGATTTTTGGGAGGTACTCTATGAATAATGCCATGGAAAGTGGTGAATTTGTGTGTAGCAATGTTCCAGAGGACGACTGAATGAGGGCACAATCCAGAGGAAAAACATACCATGCCTCTACAAGAGTCTGCAATGTAAATTCTACGTCTTTCATGAAGAGTAGTAGGAGGAGGTAAAGATAAAGGGGTAACAATGTGTAACGATTCAAAATTTTTTTTTTATATAAATAAGAATAAATAAGTATTTAAAGGGCGTAATTGTCCTTTCACGTTTTAAATGAATAAATAAATAAATAAATCAAAAACAGATTTGTATTTATTTATTATTTGACTGATTTTTGAATTAGTTTCCTAATCCAAATAGTCCTCTCTCTCTCACGCTCCTTAACTCTCTTTCTCACGTTCTCCATCTTCATCACATTATTTCTGCCAAAAATATCAACAGTTTTCATGCTTGAAAAACTCACAAAAAATTTTCAAGTAAAAGAAAATAAGTAATCAAAACGTCAAGGCTAAGAGAGGTTCGTCGAGAGAGGTGTGCGTTGAAGTGAATTGGGAGTGGTTTGGAGGAGTTTTCCGGGCAGCAACATTAAAGTTTGAACATCGATTAAGGTATGGGTTTCTTCTCTCTTGGCTCCTTTCCCAAGAGGCCCCTTACGATTCAAGTTATTTATCTCGAAACTAAGGCTGTTTCCCGTTGCATGCCCCTGTCACTAGCTCCCAATGAATTTTAGGTTGGGTATGATTGCTGGTAGATTTAGGTGTATATTATGTTTTCGCGATGAATATGATTATGTTTGTGTACTTGGAATCGTATGAAAGGCAACCATGTTTTTCTTGAAATTATGTGTAAGTATGTTACAGTGAATGAGGTTCTTTATGTAATGCTCCAAAAGTTTAATGTAATATGATTGTATATTTTTCGTGAATAAAATGGGGTAAGACGTGAAGTTCATATGAAATGTTAGGTGGCTTGATTGAGGGAGTAATTCTTGGTTAGACGAATCTATAAAAAAAAAATATAATGTGTAATTAAAACATTATGAATGAACCATGAAATTTCCCTAAGAATTAATGTTAAACTTGATGAAAAAGTGAAGAAAAATCGTAGAATAAATTTCCAGAACTTGAAAACAGACTTTAAAAGAATCTGGAAATTTTTTGAACATCAAAAGAATTAAAAAAAAAAGTTTTGAGGCCTGCAGGGATCGAACCCAGGACCTCCCTGCAGCATGCCTTAATTAAAAAAAAAAATGGGGCTGGCAGGGATCGAACTCGCGACCCCAGCCACGCGCAAAAAAAAAAAAAAAAGATTTAAAAGGGAATGCTGGGGGCGGGGATCGAACCCACGACCCCCAGTTCGCGAAAAAAAAAAAGGAATAAAAAGGGATGTGAGGCGTGGGGATCGAACCCACGACCTCAGAGTTGAAGGGAGGGGTACAAATATTAAGGAAATAAAGGTGAGGCTGTGGGGGTTCGAACCCACCACCTCACAGCCTCCATTTCCAGCGAAAATAAGAGAAAAATAAAGGGGGCTGTGGGGGTTCGAACCCACAACCTCCCTATTCAAGCGAATGTAATTAAAAATAATAATAATAATAAATTAAAATTCTAATTAAAGTTGAAAAAAATTAATTCTCTTATGTAAACATTGAGATTAAATTTAGAATTTTGATTAAAAATAGAATACTAATTCTTTTATGTAAATATTGAGATTTAAATTAGAATTCTAATTAAATTAGGAAATTATTCTTTCATGTAAATGATTGAAATTTAATTTAGAATTCTAATTAAAATAGAAAATGTATTATGTCACGAAAATGTTGAGATTTAATTTAGAGTTCTAAATTTATGAATATTAGAACTAAAATCAATGAAAAATATAAATGATGTCCAAATAATTCAAGATTTGGGTTCTCGTGCCCAAACCTCCGTATTGATACATAAGTCATACGTGAGTAAAATATTCAAGAATAATGTAATCTACTTTGATCAAAAATCAAGATCTTGGTATATATACAAGATACATAAGTCTTGTAATACATAATCTTAGGAAAATAAGAATCACTTAACGAACTATAAACGAAGCCCCATGGCTTGTATGTATAGACACATAAGTTTAACATACGTTCAAAAAAATAAGTGAACCTAAGATGTACGTAATGAAATGAAGAATGTGGTGACAATCATGATGTGAGGCTAATGTATATGGAGAGAGCAATCTCAAACGAGCCTAAGTAAATGTTACCAATACGTATTCATCAATGAGGGTGTAAGATAATGAAGAGACCAGTCTCTATAAATACTTTAATGAAAAATATTGAGTTTAAAACACTAAATACTAATAATGAGATGAGAAATCATCTATTGAGCTATGATGCCCTCATACTAGAAGACAACTTCCATGATGTATGAGTTGGATGTAATGGAACTTTATACTGAGCACCGATAGGCTAGCTATGAGCGGTGATGCCTTCTTTCGGGAAGGGCGGAGGTTCACGTAACTCTCATGAGATGAGACTGTCCGGCTTGCCGGGTATGGGTCTCCATACATCTCCTAGTCTTTGAACCTATATTGCCACTATAGGGATCTGGCGGGGTTAAATTCCCATATACGCTAGCATGTTATTGAATCGCTTTGGCCGGTGATTCCACCTCTTTTCGGTGTGGGGAAGACACTGGATTTCATGATGCTCACATGATCTATGTCGGTTAAAGTTAAAGTTCCCAATGAATGAATGAGGCCAGCCTCAAATGAATCATATAAAGAAATGAATGATACCGAAGGTGTTAGGATAGGATAATCAAGAGGTGAGCTAGATTTAGGTAATGACATTAGGTCATTCCTGATCATTGCACAGCAAACCCGATGAAAGTCTTAAACTACATCCTAGGTATAGCTGGTGTTCGCACTGGCCTATGAATGAATTGAAATGAAACACGAACGAATGAACGAAGCAGGCTCTGTGTTTGCTGAAGAAGGCTCCCTAGTTGAGGTCCCATATGTTGAGCCCTCATTTTGGGAAGTCTTAAGGTTAAGTCTATGATAGTAAGGTCTCATGGTATATGAATGAACAATATGAAAGAAACTATGTGCTATATGTTATGTGTTATATGAAGATATTATGTGTTGTGTGCCATACAATAACTATAATGATGCATGTCACTCTCGTGGCATAACCTTCCTAATCTCATTTTAGCAAGTCCACCGACTTGACTTCCAAAAATCATGTTGTTAGGAAAGAGCTATTCTTTCTCATGCATGTCCCTGGTGTGTGCTTGCATATACCCATACTTAGTACAAGTGTGTACTAATTCCATACAAACATCTACTTTTAGGTGCAGGCACAGGTGTACGGTAGAGCTACAAGTTCTTTGTTGCAGCTATCTGGACGTCAGCATTCATCCGGAGTTTGGTAGGTCCTTATGCCTTCGAGGATGCTACTGTTTTACATTCTAGCGTAGTTTTAGAGTTGAGCTAGTGGGGCATGTTCCACTAGCGTTTCTTTCCTGTTTTGGTTCAGACTTTGTATTGGTGCTATTTTGGCCGATATACAATTAATATTTAATGAATTATTTCTTTCAGTTGCTTATCTCTTAAAGGTTAGATGGTTGATGATGAACGATTACGAAATGTTAAGAATGTTCAGCAAGTATGATTAAAGAATCAAAAATTCCAAATTTTCCGCTAAAATTAATCTATGTAAAGTAAGAATGACGTAAGTAGGCTTGTCTGCGACCTCTGAGAGGTCAACGACGCCGGTCTCGTCTGGGGTCTAGATTCCGGTCGTGACAAAGTTGGTATCAGAGCGCTAGGTTAAATTCCTAGAATAATGAGTTCACATCAACCACATTGAGTAGTTTCTAAGTCATGGTAGTGAAGTGCACCACTATCCTGGATTAGAGACTGCATGATGCGTAGGAAAAACTTCCCTTTTTCTGATCTTATCGTGCTTATCCTAATGTTTGAATTCTTGGTGTTATGAACGTGTCTAACATCAATCTTGTTGTTTTTCAGAGAATGAATACTTGGAGGACTAAGGGTCGGAGGACGGGAGCAGCTGCAGCTAGGGGTAATCAGAATCCACCCCAGGCTCCAGCTGAAGGAGTGGCTATGCCTGTTAACCCAGCTGGGTTGACTGATGCGGAGGTGAGGGCATCTCTAGCCCAGATGGCACAGGCCATCACAATGCAAGCCCAAGCTATGACTGCCCAAGTCAACCGGCAGGATGTTCTAAGGGAAAACCCACCGGTTCGCAGCATAGCTGACAGACTGCGAGACTTCACGAGGATGAATCCTCCAATTTTCACAGGGGCTAAGACTTCAGAAGATCCTCAGGAATTTATAGACGAGTTGCATAAGATACTGGTGGCCATGGGGGCCACTGATATTGAGAAGGCTGAGTTGGCTTCCTACCAGCTCAAAGATGTTGCACAGACTTGGTGCAAAATGTGGCGAGATAACCGTGTCCTAGGAGAGGTGTCAGTCACCTGGGAGCTGTTCAAGACAGCATTTTTGGAAAGGTTCTTCCCTAGAGAGATGAAAGAGGCCAAGGTTGAGGAGTTCATCAACCTCAAGCAAGGATCCATGACTGTCAGGGAGTATTCCCTGAAGTTTGTGAAGTTATCAAGGTATGTACTTCCCTTAGTATTTGATAACAAGAATGATGAGAGTACTTAACTTTGTTGGAATTATCCAGGTATGCTACTCCCTTGGTTTCTACCAGCAGGGAGGAGATGAGTAGATTCCTCACAGGAATCAATGGAGACCTGGAGGAGGATTGTCGGGCTGCGATGCTCCATGATAATATGGACCTTTCTAGATTAATGATGCATGTCCAGCAGGTAGAGGACAGCCGAAAGAGGAGAGGTGTACGTGATGTTAGGAGGCCTAGGCCTCAAGATCAGGCAGGTCCCAGCCATGGAGGCCATAGAAATAATTTTGGCGTCCGCGAGCAGCCCAAATTTAAGAAGGGGCAACAGAGTGCTGGTAA